GGCTGGAGCTCCATCCGTTCTTACTCCTTGTCCCATTTAAGCCCCATCTGTTCAACTGCCTCTGACACAGCTTCAAAAATATCTTTTCCCGTCGTTGTGCCTTTTAGGCTCATCATATCAAGCAGCAAAAATTATCATCTACTCCCCGCAAAAAAATTAACAGTTGCGCGGTGTCTGTGGCATCTGTGCTCTCATCGCATGCTATTGAGTAAAAATCAAAAGCACAAGCTTTGTCTCTCAGCTGAAGTTTCAAGTTAGCTGACAAGTCCTCGATTCTCCGCACCACTGTATTTCTGGATAAGCTCACATTGTTGAAATCAGGCACTTTTTCTGGACACATTATTTCTGTTACTTTGATGAGGCACTGCTTTATGAAATCACCGTCTGAAAACGGTTTGCCGTGCTGGGCAATAAGTTTAGCGACTTCATAACTTGCTGTTGTGGCGTTTTCTTGTATTTTGTTAGCACGGAAAAAAAACTGCTGTTGAGCTTGCAGGCTAGCTGCCATTTGCTTGACTTTCTGTGTTCGTTCGACACCAGTGTACGATGTGTAGCTCTGATGTTTGGTCTCATAATGCCGACGGACATTATACTCTTTCATCACAGCAACATCTTCATTGCAAATCAAACAGACACACTTTCCGTTGATTTCCTTGAAAAAATACTCATTTTCCCACCGTGTTTGAAATCTCCTACACTCACTTGCTATTTTGCGTTTCATCGGTGCTGCCATTTCTGGTGACTCATATCACCAGAAATGACATGAGTCATTTCTGGTGACTCATTTCTGTGGCTGGCTCCATCTAGTGTTGAAACTGAGAAGTGCAACAGAGTTGACCTCAAGCTTCTTGTGCGGGCCATATGTGGCTGGCTCCATCTAGTGTTGAAACTGAGAAGTGCAGCAGAGCTGAGCTCAAGCTTCTTGTGCGGGCCAGATTCAGCTATATTATCAGAATTTGCTGCGGGCCAATAAAAACTGGACCGCGGGCCGCAGTTGGCCCGCGGGCCGTAGTTTGGACACCCCTGATTTAGATTATCTGACACCAGAGCACTATCTTAGAAATAAATATTACAATATAATTTTAACTTTCTAAGATTTACAAAATCTTCATATTAGTCTTCATATTGTGTTACACGAAGCACTATAGCTAATATTAGCTGACATTTCGCTGTTGGACATGGATACAGTACATTAATATTCTATTCACACAATATAAACAATATTCTCACTTGTGAAAAGTTATCCCCCGAGCCCTGACAACAGCAGTCGGTCGATTTTAACAAAATATCCTGCAGTGCTGAGGCATCTTCTGCTGTAGGTAGGATGGACAACCGCTCCAAGATGGCCGCCGTAATTTCTGGATCCGAGCAGCCAATGTGGGTCTACTCTTTTATTATGTCTATGGAAATCAAACGTGCTGATTTTACTGCAAAGTTTCAACTTCCTGGTTCTGCTGTATGGCAGGCCGTTTTATCATAAATTTGGTTTCGCCTGACTATCCGTAATTAAATTCTAGATATCTAAAAATGCATTTTTACTAGACAAAACTACATTTTGACTATCCAGAATGGTAACTGAAGATATCTGCATTTATATTCTGACTAGTAAGAAAAATAAATCACCATATCTTCAATTACATTTTGATGAGTCAAAATTCCTCTCAAGATATCTCAAATGATGTCACCGGATCCGTCATTTGATGGGACACATATCCATTATTATAATTTAATATATGTCAAACTTATGAATAGTCAAAATTACATTATTAGCTATCTGAACTAAGAATTGCGTGGAAGCCCCTTTGTGCTCTCCAAACAGCCTGCAGAATTTTATGTTTCCTGCACAAAATTGTCAGTAAAAGCCACAACGTTGAAAGAACTTGGCAATGTTGGATATGCAGAGAACGCAAAACATCTTGGATTTTGAGACTGCTTCAGAAATCTGCAAAGAATTTCCTGTTTATTCATTTCCAGCAAACCGCTTTGAAAATCTTAATAGTGCTGTCAACCAATTTTCAAGATGAAAGCAGTGCGTTTTCAAACATGTTTCCCTTTTTTCTACTTTTCATTGTTTTATTAAGCTTTCAAAATGCTGTGAAAGTCAGGGACGTTTTGATTATGCAAAACCCATGTTCAAGATATGAGTAACGTCACTCTGAATAGTCAGAATGATAATTTAAGACATCGTAAATAGAAAAGCTGTGTAATTCAAGCTCTAACTGGAGATATCTGAAAATAAAGTTTGACTGGTCAATATGATATGTTCTGAATTGAGTGTGGGTTCCTCTGCCCAGCTGGTTCCACTCAACAGCTCTGACTGAAGGAACCAGGCAGGAAGTNGCTTTAGATGTACCTTCTGTCCCTTCTTCCTCCTCCTCTTCTTCCTCATCCTTGCTCATGACTTTGTGGTGCGCAGGCATGTTGAAAGTGCTCCTACGCATCGATTTTCGGCGCTTCACCCGAGAATACATGTCCATATTTTCCTGAAAGAAGCAAAAAAAATAAATAAAAATAAAATCAATAAATGCAGCCACTTGTGTTCACGTTACAGTCTCAGTTTGTGCTTTTTCATCTTTCTTTCTTTTTTTTTTTTTGCTGTGTGCACAGCTCACCTCCTCCGTTTCTCCGTTCCACATGCGAAGTCGCTCCAGCTCACGGTTCTGCCTGATGCTGGTGATGTTGTCCATTTCCTGCAGAACGGCCTCGGCGGTGCTTCACACAGACAGACGGAAACAAACGGTGGATGGCAAACATCCCAGCCAAATATCCCAGCCCTAAACTCAAAAGTTTTATTTCATGTTCTAAGTTTCTCATTCTTCACACGACACACAATGTGTTTGCATTGTTATCATTTCCAGCTTCTCCGTTGTCTGACGCAAAGATTTGCAAAAGGCAAAAGTACAACTTCCAGCTACCTGTTGACCAGCTGGTCGAACAGCAGGCTCTGATTGAGGTGCTGGAACTGGCTCTTCCTCACCCGGCAGCTCCTCTTCAGCTCCACGTGGCCGTTCATTCGGGAGTGATCAGCCCCTCCGCTCTCATCGCTCCTGTGATTCCTTTGCGCTGCAGCGTCGAAAGATTCAAAAGATTTGTTTGTTTTCGTTATTTATTTGATTTTTTTTTTTTTTTTTTTTCCAACGCATGAAGCCAAAGAAAGAAAAAAACTGAATTACCGTGTCCATTTTGCATTATGCGAGAAGACAGCCTGGAAAAAGAAAACATACAAAAAAAATATGAGATCTGTTGAAGATTGGGAGGGAGGACGGGGAGTAATAAGAATAATCACTTGTGTTCTCGCTTTTAGGATTTTTACAAAAAGGCGGTTGGACGTTAAGCTGAAAATTAATTTGCAATAAACAAATCCGAGCCACTGACCGGGTGCGGTAGGTTGGCAAGCCCCAGCTGACCCGCTGGCCCTTTGCCTGAGGGGACGGCGAAGTGTCACTGGAGCTTGGCTCGGAGGCTGTCTGCCGGCGCGTTCGTTTGGCAGGGGGTGCCAACCGTGGGCTGTTGGGACTGCTCGCATCACTGCTGGGCTCCTTCTGTTGTGCAAACACAGAGAAAAACAAAAAGTTGAGCAGGAAGCGAAGGAGAGAGCACAAGACTTGGAGGAACAACTTCAGGCAAAAGGGCTTAGAAAAGGAAGAATGCCAATTGTGTTGTCCTCACAACAAGTGACAAGTGTGTGTAGCTAGACAGCCATCGAACAACTGAAGATCCTTTGCAAATTGATTTATTGTAGCTGAAACACAACAGCGGGGGAAAAATACAAAAGGTAAAACACTTGCTACATTCAAAATGGTTTTGTAACTGAAATGTAACAGAAAGATAAATACATTACTAACCAATGGACCTGTCTTAATTCTTTACATTTTATAAACCACAAAAAAAAATAAAAAAACATTAAGATGTCTAAGTGTCATCTGATACTTACAAAGCCAAAAGTTTTCAAAGGTAAAAATCGCAACAAGTCCATTGAGAGTGTTTGTGTGCTGGTTAATTTCTCCAAACTGCCTAAATTCTGGTTGACAAGGTAACCAGAGAAATATGGGTCAAAGACAGTTTGCTGCCTAGAGCGCTCACTCGGTCATGTTCAAGCAAAAACAACACACGTGTCGCACACTAATCAAATTTCAAACCCAAAATATTTAAACTATTCTCAGCATGAATTCAGTCATACAATTTGCCAACTGTGTACTCATTTGTCAACTTGTTGATGTAACTTATTTCCACTAAAAGTAGATATATGTCACACTCCCTGCTTATTATAATCACTTTACAGCATTACAAAAACCAACACAACCTACTCAAACATATCAGGTCATTTAACATGAAGGAAGTTTGACTCCGTCTCTGCAAGCAAAATAATAATCTCTGAAACTGGTCCAAGTAACAATTTATCAGTCACATCTTATACAGTTCATGCTTTCTTATCTCTGCTGGGAAATGATACATTAGTAGCCTCATGGGCTACTAATGTAACATTTCCTGCTGAGACTGGTGTCCTTGACCAGGACTACGTCTCCTCCCCTGGCGTCAGATCTGGTTTCAGTCCACTTTGCATGACTTTGTACAGTGGACAAATATTCTTTTCACCTTTTCCAAAAAGTATCAGCAAAGTGTTGAACATTCTTCTGTTTTTTTTGTTGTTCTTCTTTATTTCCCCCCCCCAATCAATTGTCCTGGTGAAAACTTCTCAAATGGAGCAGTCTCCATGTTGGTAACATTGCTTGTGTGAGCAGTACAGGACTGTCCGACATCCAGCACTACGGACAGCTCCTTCACTTATGCGTCTCCCTTGATAAGCCACTTGTTCGTTGAAGTGACGAAAAGTAGTGTAGCGGTAAGAGGGCGTTTCTCGCCGTCTGAGCTTGCCTCTCGTTGTACGAGTTCGGCCAAGGGATTCAGCTTTTTGAGTGCGTTACGTGTTCATCCGTTTCTTCTGTAAGATTTTTCAGCGTCTCTCATTGTAGGCATCTTGTTGGGTAGCTTTAATGACGATTACTTTGGCTTGTGAGTTTCTGGTTGTTTGGTGTCTCACTGAAACGCTCCCATCCTGTTAGTCCGGTTGGTGGCATGTTGGTATTTGAGGGTTTTCAAGATTTCGCAAAGTGTCTTTCCATGACACCCAGAAACAGATGTACCTTTCACCTCTGTCTTTCAGAGAATAAGGGCACTTCTCGGTCTCTTTCACCAGAAAACAGTTCTCTTAGCAATGTTTAACCCCGACTTATTATGGGAGCAACAAAGCCTAAAGAGCCATACAGACTATTGACTGTTAACAACATTGCCCTATGTGTGAATGGTTTGGTTTCGCTTCATACACAAGTGAAGTTATCAGATAGTAGGTTCCAACAGAGTTTTATGCTTCTCTAAACAAAGAGTGTCTTTTTAAGTCCTTTGAAGGATGCTTAGTGTCAAAAGTTCGATGCTACTTTGTAAAGTTGCAGGATACCAACTTGTTTTGTGTTCTTGCAAGCAGGTCAGTTAATTCCGGTGTAGCAAACGATGTCACCAACATTCAACATCGGTTGCTACACCGGAATTAATGAACCATCTTGTGTTCTTGTTTACCTTGTTATGATGCTCTTCTCATACAGCAAATGATTATTTCCAAACATGAGGACTTCCATTCTAAACTTGGCTATGGTTTTAGAAATGTCAGTGTCCTCACACTACAAATAACACACGAACAAAAAAAACAAAAAAAAAATCTATGTGGTCTTTACGCACAATAAAGCGGTGAAATATTTGCTGCACATTAGCCATCTGGGGTATGGGCTGTTTACAAAAGCACTCAGCACTCCTGACAGAAAGTTGTTCAAATCAGGTCCACTAATAAGCTTTTGGTTAAGGAATGTTTCAACACATTTTCCATTTGAATGAAAAACGACCTGCATTTCCTCTGGCTTCTGTGTGATATACGCAGATCGTGCAAAGACGCCAATGTCCTTTATTTACAGATAGGGGTGGAGCAAGCTCTGCTTGATCGTTATTTAACATCTTTTGGATAAATTGGACATAAAGATCTTTCATTTTTGGTTTCTTGGAGAGAGTAGAGGCATCTTAGGGCTTGCTGTCAGTTGGGGAGCGAAAGTGTAGATGTGCAAGACAGCTGTTCTCTTGGTTTTGATAAACTTCATTGTGGCTTGCTTGTCATCAGTCGACAATTGGGACCTTGTCTGCAGTTGCGAGTAGATGTTGGTGATGCTGAGCAACCTCCAGAGAAGGTATTTTCTGATTCCATTGTCTGGAACAGAGTCGCTGTCAACTACAGGATGTAGCTGCATGTTGACTTTTACCCAACACTGACAAGTTTACCACAGAAAAATATGCTGAAGTTTTTTTGGCTAGAGCGCTCAGTCATGTTTTTCCAAAAACAACATGACAAAGATAGTTTGTAACACAGATGTCTCACACTGATCAAATTTAAAACCCAACATTTTTTTAATTGTTCTCAGCATGAATTGAGTCATTCCATTTACTAACATTTGATTATTTGCCAACTTATGTAATATTCTTTTCACTGTAAACTAAATTACTGTATTTGATCAAATGACTGACAACGATCTTTCCAAGTTCAACTTCACTACTGACAGTGGAAGCATAGCTCACTGCTGTTATGGGAAACTGTGTAATCAGAGGAAGAAATGTATGTCCTATTTTCTTTTTGGGGCAATTACTTCCCAAATAGTCTTTTTTTTTTTTAAACAAGGTGTACAACTAGCAACTTTATTGACCTAAAAAAAAAAAGAAACTGGGAGAGATGTTTGAATTTATCGTAATTCTTTTTTTAATCCACATAGGCTAAAATATCCTCCACCAAATGACATTTTGTTTAATATCCCCCAGAAGGTTGCAGAGAAATCACACACTTTTTAATGGCCACCATCAAATTTCTGGTGTATTTCTGGATGGATGTTTGCCCACACTCCTTGGCAGATTTGGTGGCGTTTATTTAAATGGGTTGTTTCACTGGAATAGACCTGACATTTTTTTATATAGTCTACAAATAATCACCAGTATTTAGGCCTGAACTACATTGTGTCGAAACGTAAAGCTTGAAAGATTCATTCCTCCACCTACTTCACCGGTACAACTGGGATGGAAACAAGCCCTCATCACAATACTGCCAATACCATGTTTGGTAGCTGCAGAGTGGTCAAATACTAAGCAAGAATTATCCATGGCCTTGCTGATAGCTACAGGAAGCATCTTGAGCAGAAACATTTAAAGGCATATTAAATCGGGGTGGATTCGCATATTCGAACTGCTGCATATCATTTTGACCCCATGTGGATTAGAGAAAATCTGCAATAAATTTAAACGGTGAATTATTTCTTCAAATTACTGAAGTGGATGTTTAGTGTCAACGCTCCACAAAGGGGAAAGAAAAGAAAAAAAGCAACGATCAATTAAGTCATTAAGAAAGTCTAAAATTAATGAGATTCATGCCTCAATGCTCCAACAGTGCTAATTCAAAAGACTACATTACCTCCCCAGCATGCCATCAGGTTATGCAGAAGTCTGTTAATGGCCTATTCATTTTAATCAAGGCGGCTGGAGCAGGGAGCAATCTGAAAACATGGAGGATGGTGGGCTCTGAAGGACAGATCACAGATTTGGCAGAGGTATCTACACTAAGCAGCATATCGGAGGACGATATTTGAGCATAGCATGTTATTCATTTCATAAAACACAGTGACCAAACAAAGAGCTCTTCAGAGAAGTTCATACAATATGACAAACGCATTGAAATCCCCAAAAAGGTTTTGTTTAAAACTAATACTGTCAAAGAAGGGTATTTTCAAACTTTTTTATATATGTGTAGATCACACTGAAACTTCTGCAATCAAAAACGCTGTGCAGACGTCAAGCAGTAGTCAACAACATTCACAAAGAAAGTCATAATACATTGAAAAGGTCGATCCGTTAAGGGAACTATATCTTTTCTCCTCCTCATTTATGTTTTCTAATGCTGTAAAAAAAAAAAAAAAGAACATAGATGAAGGATCTTTAGGCTTGCGGTGTTCAATGTTTACACTCTGAGACAAAAGGCTGAAAGATTGACGCAAACTTAAGATCTCAACTTAAAGTTTGCCAGAGAAGCACTGCATTACTGGGCACAAAGTTGACTGTTTTTGGGTTTGAAACGTGTACTTCAGGAACAGCCTGTTCCACGGCCCTTGAGGATATTTACAATAATAAAAATTAAAAAAAAAAAAAAATGGTTCACCAAGTTCAGACATGCTAAATACGGGACCTGAGCCAGCCAACTGTTGTGGACCTGATCCCTTCCCCCCACTGTAAGCTAACTAAGGCTAGCCATTTCCCAACCAACGCTAGCTTAAATAAGGCTTTATCCTTCACCAGTCAACTAAACATCTATCCTGCTCGTTCCACATAATAGGGTCGAAGTTGAAGCAATGTTTTTTAGCTTAATTGCTCCATTTGAAGAACTGAGTTTTGATGACAACGGTGAAACAAGTCAGCCGGGCAAAATTGCCAAACACAAAGGGAACTCAACTTAGAGCTAGCCAGGAGTTAATGTCGCTAGCTTGTATTTTAACAGCTTCATAATAAGTTTGAGGCTAATGACACGCACACGACTGGTTGCATTTACTAGTTTTATTTCTTGTCTGTGTCACTGTGTGGGTGTCAGTGCAACTGCTGCTCGTATCTTGTTGTAAATAAGACATCCATGGGATCAGCTTGAGGCCAGGGCTACAGCTACTTAGCCAACTAGCAGAGCCAGCTAGCTCGCCCGGTAAAAGAACAGAGACCGGCTTACATGTTCCTCTGAGTTTCTCTCTTTTCTCGATGACGATCGCGTCCTGGAGGAGATGAAGGCGCCGCTCCGTGTCCGGGGGCTCTTCCTCGTCTTCTCCATGTTTCTCTCCTTTGAACTGTCTTCACCGAATCTCTCCAACCGGCTCCAAACACTGCTTCAGTGAGCGCAGCATCGAGGCGCCATTTCTCCCTGTCTATCTCCTGGTCTATCTACTCCCTCCCAAGCGGCTGTGAGTCCTTCTGGCAGGTGCCTTTATTAATATTATTTTTTTCTGACATGGCTACTATCCCCCCAAAAAAGACAATAAATATTTTAACATAAAAAACACGCTTTTGGTTGACACTTGCTGAAAAAAGTGGTGCAATAAACAGACTCAAATCTCACAGTTTTGGAGTGACACTCAAGCTTTCCTCCTGCATCTCAATAAATAAATATATAATCTAAAACTTCTTATTTTAGTACTTGAGTTTAAAAGGGGGAACTCACATCTTATATGGAATTATTACACGAATTGTGAAATATGTCTACTTATTTTTTCTACTTATTTTTCAAGTAGGTGTACCATATGGCTAATGAAAATCACAAATTGTTTCTCCGAAAATGTAAATAAAAAGCAACAAAATGTATGTAATATAATTACACAAAGTTAAGACTGCTGAATTGATGAATAAGTTGTCCGTTCAGAGTGCTGTGAGCAATCATATTGGAAAGTTAGGTGGAAGGAAAAAGTGAAATCAAAAAGTGTTGCAAAAAGACATACAAGGGGCATGGATAACATCTTTTAGAGAAGTATGAACCAATTGTCATTTCAGAGTGTGAGGGAGATTTACAAGTCATGGATTGTAGCTGAAGTCAGAGCTACATCTGCAGAAGAGTGGGGAGGCAGAATCCAAGCTGCAGGAGGTCCAGTGTGAAGTGTCTACTGGTTTGGGGAAGCCATTTTATCTTTTTTGTCTTGTTTTTGGTCTACCATATCCACCTTTATGGAGAGATGGTGATTGAATTTTCCAGAAGGAGTTACCACCTACCCACCCTGTCAAAGTTGCAATAACTGCTTTAATGACCATAGTGTGGTTGTGCTTGATTGAGCAGGAAAATTGCATGACCGAAACCCAACAAAGAAAAGAGAAAGATGAGAGACACAAGAGCTAATAGTGCAAACAAACTGCTATGAAAGCAAATTGGGCTAGACCTCAGCGATCAAGCAGCATTTATGCAAGTATTCACCCCATAGGTCCCCCAACTAAGTATCAAGCACAAACCCTATGCAGTACATGTTCATACTTTATAGTAGACTGATATTTCTAGTTTTAAAAAAAGAAAGTTTAATTTAACATTAAAATTTTCTATGATGAAGTTTGTGTTTTCATCAGCTGTGACCCATAATCATCAGAAATAGTAAAAAGAAATAGTAAAAAGAACTCATGAGAATTAGAAATATACAAGAGATTTTTTTTGTTTCTGTATTTAAATGACTGAAATAAAATGACTGTTAGTTTGTAATGAAACTTGATTGAGACAGCTAAGATATTATTGTTTACATTTATGACCCCCTCCAAAAAAAACTCCAACAAACAAAAAGTATTTATTTATTAACTAATATATATCATATACCAGATGTGATTGGTTTAACCTAAATATAGCTGAGCAGTGCTGTAGGATTACGACAGTAGCACTTTACGGCAGTTATTTCTTGCTCTGCAGAGGATCCGCTGCCAGAAACTTGAAGCTGCAGATGTGCAACCCCGGGTTAAAAAACAAAAGCTGGTAAGTCGCTATTTGACTTTACGCTTAATATGAGCATGCAGCTAATAGTTTTAGCGTGTCTTTGTGTGTGTAAAAGCCACGTTTATGTGTTCAGCTTGTGTGTTGCTCTTAGCGTCCCCAGCCTTTTATACCCACTTGCATAAATAATCTCATCGGTACAGGCCGCTTGGGTGTGTGGCTGTTTGTCAAGAACGGCTTGTTAGATTGGGCACTTTCCACTACTATTCTTAGCATACTCTTAACGAAGGAATGAGTTTTAAGAAATGTTTTTAAATTTTAAATATGTCACTACAATAAATTTGAAGCATGCTATTTAAAGCTTCGACAGGCTCTGCTATAATAGCGTTGTTGTTTTTCTTAGATGGAAAACACATAACGGCATGAAAGAGACTGACACTGTGGCTGAGAAAGCTGAGCAATGGTAAGTCAGAATAAATAAACCGGGAAGCGTTAATCTTGGATTTGTTGGTATTACTGTTTGCGCTCTACCTTATATTTACAACTCTGCAATGTCTCTCAGATGCGATTCAAACGTCTTGAGCTTTTTCGCAATTGAACGCTTTACAATCACAAACTATTATGTATTTTACTACAATGTTAGGTGGTAGACCAAATAAAAGTACTAAGTGTAAAGTGGGATCAAAATGAGACAGTTGTTTTTTGCATTCTTCTGTTCGCTGTAATCACAAATGCAAGTTTGTTTTTGTGCGTGTCTACCAAATTTGCATATTAGGAGACCAGAATTATAAGTCTATTCTTCTTCACCAAGTAGTTAAAGGAAACTGATTTGGTTTTTCTTCACCAAATCAGTTTTCAGCATTGAAAACTGATGTTGATGGAGTGTCAGTTTTCAAGTCGTACCACAGGTTCTCAACTGGCTCTTGGTCTGGACTTTGGCTGGGCCATTCCGTTGTGAATATATTCTTTTGTATACTAATCCATTGTAACTAGCTGTAGACTTAGAGGTACTTTCCTGGATTTTATTTAACAGTATCTGTGTAAAGAAAACTAAAAAACTACACTTTTTTATTGTTTTCATTCCACTTTCCAATTACCTTGTGCATAAATCACCTTAGAACTAATGATGTACCTGCTACAAGACAATGTGAAAAACCTCCGGAGATACAAATGCTTTTGCATGCCACTGTAATTTGTTATTTTGGTTTCAGGAAACAAGAGCAGTGGAAAAGTTAGCAGTAAAGTGTTTAGGAGACATTATTTGGAGAGGGAAACTTAACTATCAGCTGACATGTTTTTGATGGATTAAAAACTTTTTTTTTACACTTTACCTTTCACATGTTTTGTTAACAGGCAGTCAGTGAGGAAAATGAAGAGGAGGTTCCAATGAGTCGTAGTTTCTCAGTAGAAGACCTCCTTGATGAGGTGGAGAAGATCTGCTACGATGCGTCAGGGACATCAAAGGTAACTCATCCCATCTCAATGCATATTTATTGTGTGATGGAGTTGTTGTCATATAAACTAAGACTAAATGCCAGATGGCAAGTGCGTGCTATGAGAATGCAGTTATTACACATTTCGACAGAACATTAAATATACAAACCAGACCACCGTAGTTTGACCAGTGTAGTTTGCACAGTAGAGATTCACAGAGAAATCAACCGGTGCGTGGAACTAGACCAGGCCTGACAAGACGCTGGCCATCAGAAACTGAAAGGTGCTTTGCTGAATCAGTGGATAAGCCGTAGTTTAGTGAAACCAGGTCGCCTCTGATGACAGTACTCTAGAAATGTCCTGTTGTGGTGAGACAGGTCTGTAGGTTGTTCAAGCTGTAAGAGGGCAAGCAAGTAGTAGAGGACAGGAAAGCTAAATGGAGTTCATAAATCTTTCAGCCTCTGGCTTTAGAAATGTTGGCAGCCTTTTTGAAATCTCAGAGTTAAGATATGGATCCAAATTCTCCTAAATATACATCTTGAGTGTGCTGTTTTAGTAACGTTAGCCACGTGCTAACCCCTAGTGTAGGGTCCTAAGACCAATTAAAATGTCTTTGCCCCATCACAAAACTCTGTTTCACACTGACATATTGTCTCATCTTGTAATATTAATAAGTGACCACTCCATAATTGACTTCTTCTTATATTGTTGTTCTTAAAGGGTAATGGCTAGAAAATGGTAAAACCAGGTTGAAGTTCAAAATCTGCATTTAAAAATCAGTCACAGAACTTTGATCCTTGCGTTTGCAGTCAACCTCTCTATTGATGGGCTTAATACAAATGTTGCCATGTTAAATCCAGGTGGAGATGGTGGTGAGGCTGTGGAAGGACGGCTTTACTATAAACGACGGAGACTTCCGCAGTTACTCTGTGTCAGAAAATCAAGATTTCCTGGATGCCATCAAAAGAGGGTGAGTGCCTCCATTGAGGCATTTGGCATATTTTGATCCGAAATCTACTCAGAATGCTTACAATTGTAGTGTAGTCATTGTTTCTAACTGCATATAATCATTTAATCCATTTACACCACCTTAAGGAATTTTCAGGAAATGAAGCAATGTTTCCTGTTGACTTGGTTCCTTTATCTGTCGGTTTGTTTGCAAGTTCTTCAGGCATTTGAACACTTTTTTTTTAATCCAGTCTTTTTTATCAGTAAAATTAGCATCCAACTTGTTCTTTACCTTTGAGCTGTGCACAACACTGCACTAAGCCAAAGTTTGTCCCTACTTCGGTATACAAACAAGAGTATACAGACAGCAGATCTATCCCATTTCCCCTTTGTCTTATTGATTGATTCATCTGATAATACTCCTTCGCTGAACTTTGACCTGTCCCAGGGAGCTTCCAGCGGAGTGGGAGAGCAGAGCAGAGGAAGAGGAGCTGGAGATCAGTGTGGAGGATATGACTGAAGAAAACTACGTCCCCAAGAAGAAGGCTTTTCACCCGTTCAGCGGGAGAGGGTACCGACTTGGCAGGTGAAAGCTTTTTGATGTGTTTCATTTTATTCTTTTATTTGAAATAGATCTTAGAGCCTACACTGAATTATTTGGAATATAAAGAGAGGATTACTGTTACAGTATCATTAAAATGTACTGCCTCTGCTAAATAGTCATAGACTGTCTCAAGTTTCAACATGGTTTTATTACCACTTCTGCCATAATACTTTAGACCACTAGGTGTCCCACTAGGTTCATGTATTGAAATACCCAGAGGCAAGTCCTAAAAGGCACTCTGTCAGTCTTTAAGATTTAGGATCTCGTCTACAGGATATCGTACACAAATGTCACGTTGTTCAACTCATGCATACATTAAAAAATAATATTTCACATTATAGGTATGTTTGAACACTACCAACTTTTGAGAAAATGACCATGAGCGTCTTTGCACCTGCTTTTCACACTTCAAACCGACAATTCGTCTGCTTCTTGTTCCCCATGTCCATTCCCAGCGTTGCACCCAGAGTTGTGGCCCGGTCACCGTCTGTGCACGAGGACGGAGAATCTCCTCCTATTCCCATGGTAACACTAGACCACTCCCTTCCCGTCACCTCTCTGCAGATCTGGTTGGCCGACGGCAGGAGACTGGTACAGAGGTTTAACCTATCGCATAGGTGTGTGTGTCCCCCCGAATTGCACCACTTCACACACAGGAAAACTGATCTTCATGAAGAATATCTCAACACTGGCTGTTCCCACTGCGCTGCCTGTAAATCCCATAATCTCTCAACATCATAGTAAATATGTAGTAAAAGGCAGAGGGGAGTGAGGGTTAAGATTTTAGGTTATTGTGGCTCAGGGGGAGGGGGTGAAGGGGTTTATGTTTTTTTGGGAGGGTAAGGGGGGATTACATAAAGCTTTGTTCTAGTCTGATAAAGTTTGAAGGCTGAAGAAATGGCGCACAGGGGTTTCAGAGACATAATCTGAGTTGTAGCAGCAGCGTGGATCTATAAAATCCCCAGTGAGGAATTGCGTAACTCTGATGCAGCATTTATATAACAGGCTAAAGGATGAGAGAGGACCGAACCCCTCCAGTCTTAAGCTGTAGTCTCAGAGTGCAGTGAGTGTTTGGGCTGCCACAGGACTGCCGGGTCATCATTAATAATAGATGATGTTACCAGCATGCTGCCTCAGATCTCACGTGTCAACACAAGGGGTGGAGTGTTAGTCTGGGAGTCTTGGGCTTCCATAAAGGAATCGGCATGTTTAACAGGATGTTTCACCCGGGGTGTGTGAGGGGAAAACTAAAGAAATTCATTCAGTTTTTTTTTTTTTTTATATCTTTTCAGGATTATTATGGAATAAGAATATTTAAATGTCTGTCATTGATTAGTTAACTAAAATGTAGAGCCATCCATTCATCCACATATCACCTTCTATCCATTTCTCCATCCTTTTGTCTGTCCATCAAAACATTTATCCATCAGTCATTATTTTATCTATTTGTACATCCTTTTGTTGTTTCTGTATCCATCTGACCAACTTTCAGTCCTCTCCAGGATATTGGTGTTTTTTATGATTGCTAATTTTGCAGTATTTTTCTCAAAACGTTGTGATCAAAGTTACAATTTTTTTAAGCTTTATTTTTTTCTAAAGCATAGTCTTACAGAAAAAAAGTTGAAATTGCTGCACATAACCTTCCGCAAAAAGACAAGATTTGAACATTAATATTTAGAGTGCAAATAATATTTTCAAGAACATTCTTGAAATGGCATCCTTAACACAAATAAGACCGTCTCCTGACGAGTTGACAAAGTCCAAAAGAAGAATTTCATGTTGGTCATTCAAGTTAATATGAATTTTATGCACAATAGAAGCAAATCCTACAGAACATCTCAAAATGTTTTTGCAAAAAAAGTGATTGTCTAACATCATGCATATTTTCATCTTGGCTTCTTTTCACGATCGGCTTTCAAAAGACGCCATGAAACAGGACGTTGAATTATCCGGGGACTAATTGGATTGGTCAAAATTCAGCCGGGTTTCCGTGATTGGTCAGAAAAGAAGAAACTACAGAAAACGTTAAAGTGATTGGTCAGATATGTGTAAATCGCAAGTCGCCGCAAACTGATGACTTAATTTACATAAATAGTCGCGATCGCAAAATTGCAACTTCTATAATTTAAGCCCAACAACCAGTTCACAGTGACTATAAAAACAGCCCAAAATGAACAAAAATCTCTCTGTGAACCTCATTCACCCCTCAGTTCTAATCTGAGTTATGATTCTCCTTTAAGGATCTCTGACGTCCAGGATTTCGTCACCCGCTGCCAGAGGAGCTGCCCACCTTTCATCCTGACGACATCACTTCCTTTCCGGGAGCTCAGCGACAAAGAATTGAGTCTTGAGGAGGCGGATTTGGCTCACGCCGTCATCGTCCAGAGACCTCTGAACACACAGGCTCTGTTTGGACACTCCTGACCGAGACAGTCCCATACCTCACACAGCATGCTACCTTCCCCCCTTCTCTTCATAAACAAGTAGTCTATTTATTTATATATATATATATATATATATATATATATATATATATATATACAGAGAGAGAGAGAGAGAACACAATGCGCCTCTTAGTATTTTAATCTTCACTGTGCACTTTGAACTGCACTTTGTTGTCAACAAGCTAAAGGTGATATTCTCACCAGATTAGTCAGAAAGTACTAATCAGGGGCTGTTCTGTTGATAGCGTCTACTTTGACTTGATCTTCTGGAGAGGAAAGTTTATGTTTCCAAAAACAGGCTTATGGAAACCCAGCATATCACTACACAGTGGTGTCACATACAGCTCTGGAAAAAATTAAGAGACCACAGCACTGAAGCTTCTGGTTATTCCACCAAATATAGACTTCTGAACTCTTCCTGAGGTAAAACATTAGTGTTGTTGATTCTAAATGAATATGAACTTGTTTTATTTGCATTATTTGAGGTCTGCAAGCACTTCGTCTTTTACGTTATTTTGACCATTTCTCATTTTCTGCAAATAGATATTAAGAAAACAATGTTCATTTTACAGAAAAAATCAGAAAAACTGATCATTTTAAGTGGTTTCTTAATGTTTTTTTTTTTTCCAGAGATATTTACAGGTCTGGGCAGAAATTCACATCCACTCATCATATCGCTAAATATGATTAACTTTGGTCTCTTTTCTTTTTTAAAACTCTGCTTTTTGGGGGGAGGTGGACTGTATAGCTTTAACAGTTTCTAAAAATAAGTTTCTGGGGCAAAGGTTTTGATTGGCTGGCGTTATGCATCCCGAATGGCCTCCGAACGACCTCAGTCCTATTGGAAAAACGATAAACAAAGGCTTAAAATCAGGGTCCGTGCCAGCAAACCAATCAGAGTGAATGAGCTCTGTTAGTTCTGACCAGAAGAGTGGTCAAACATCCAGACAGAATCATCCACAAAATCATCCAAAAAGCCTGATGATTTCTTAAGCGACATTTATGAAAATATTAGTGTATGTGTGTGTATATATACAGTCCTGCTCACCATTATTGGCACCCCTTCATGATTTGCATAGCTGAGTGAATATTTTCAGCAATAAATGGAAATGTTCAAAACTTATATCAGCAGAATCTTTCAATTTGAGGTCCAAAGTAATTTAACAAAGACAATTACCATTTCAACATAAATATTTTAATTCCAAAGGACAAAACAGAAAACCAGCATGTGCACTAATATTGACACCCCTCTTTAATATTTGGTTGCGCAGCCTTTGGCAGCAATGACAGCCTCCAAACGTTTCTTATATTCATCTATAAGCTTCTTGCACTTCTCGGGTGGCATTTTCTCCCACACTTTTGCAATATGCTCAAGCTCTTGTACATTACAGTTCCTTTCTCCAATGGCAGATTTCAGCTCCACCCAAAGATTTTCAATTGGATTGAGATCAGGACTCATTGCTGGCCATTTTAAAACAGTCCATTTTTTTCCCTTTCAACCAACCAGGCCTGTGTGCTTTTGGAGGTGTGCTTTGGGTCATTGTCTTGCTGGAGGAGCCAGGATCTCCTTACACTGGGCAAGACATTTCGCTCTAGAATTGCTTGATAATCTTCTGATTTCATGATGCCTGTGATACGGTCAAGCCCTGCAGTACCAGATGCCGCAAAGCAGCCCCATAGCATTATGGATCCTCCACCATGCTTGACTGTTGGTATGGTGTTCTTTTCTTTAAAGGCTTCATTGCGCTGTCTGTAAACATATTGTTTGTGTGATTTACCGAAAAGTTGCCACCGAGGAGCTTTTTGACCACCTTGGTGACCTGGTCCCCAGAGATTGGAGAGCCCAACCCAGAGTCCCCAGGTTCAGCTTCCTCAAAAGAAGGCATGTTGGTGGGATTGAGGTCTTCGAAGTATTCCGCCCACCGGCCCACAACGTCCCGAGTTGAGGTCAGCAGCACACCATCCCCACTATAAACAGTGTTGGTGCTACACCGCTTCCCCCCCCACCGAGACGCCGGATGGTTACAGAATCACCTCGAAGCCATACGGAAGTCTTTCTCCATGGCCTCTCCAAACTCCTCCCACACCCAAGTTTTTGCCTCAGTGACCACCCGAGCCGCATGCCGCTTTGCCCGCCGGTACCCATCGGCTGCTTCTGGAGTCCCACAGGTCGCGGCGGCAACCCTCGAACCCGTTGGTGGACACCTTCGGTGAGGGATGCTGTCAAGCTGAAGGAGTCCTATCGGGCCTTTATGGCCTATATATATATATATATATATATATATATATATATGATGGACAATGCACGTATAATTTCACAACCGTGTAAAAATACATTTGTGAGAAGCGTTCTTGTTTTTAGAAATTATTAAAGTTGTATTAGGTGTAGTCACTTTTATCATTAAATGCTCCAAAAATATGAAATTCATTCATTCATCTGCAATGAGCAGGTGATAAATATCTGCTCAGAAATGTCCTTCCCCTCATACAACTACTATCAAAGTCTTCCCAATGTAAGAACACAACTCTTATGCACTGCAGTTTTAAAAAGGCGCTGATAGGTGGGACATTTGTTACATATTCATGAGGTGTAATGTTTTGTTTGCACAGTATTGATATTTTTGGCCTTGTCGTTTGGCTGTTTCAGGTGTTTACATTATTTTATTGTTTTCCATAATGTCAGTATTTTCCTTCTCCTTTTATTGAGGCTGGTGGGAATGTGAAATCTGCTGTTATACTCGATTGAATAATCAACGAGCATATCTTGAGAATTCACGTTGTTTCAGTACACCCTCCCTGCACAGCTGAGCTGTTTGAATTCTGCTTGATTTTTATTTATTTACTTTTTTTTTATGCTGGTTGAAGGCTTGAACTCAATTATAATTTTACGTGGTTTATCTTTTTTTCATGGACAGTCTTCATTTTTAATCTCAGAAACTCTCGCATAAGGCTAGGTCTGCTCAGATTTGTCATGAGATTGTCAAGAATGTCAAATTCAGGTACAGAATGACTGCTATACTGTATTTCTAGTTAGAGGTGTGCCAAACTATCCATGCCTTATGTAAATGTGCTACACAGTGATGTCTAAGCAAGCCTGTACTATTAAAAAAAGGTACATGAACTGTTCAGGAGGAATGTCTTTTGTCTTAATTTAGAAAAGAAAAAAAATCTGCCCATAAGACAGGATTTGGATCTGTGGTTACATTTTTAAATATTCAGTTCCGCATTAGGAAACATTCACATATTGATGTCAAATCAGTCTATTAATTATCAGCCAGTTCTTGGATGATTCATTGGCTTGTTTTTCATTGTCATGTTTCAAGGTCCAGGTCTATTTAATTTTATTTTTTAGTTTTTAACAGATTGTGTCAGATTTTTCTCTTAGTATTCTTTGTTACATATCACCAACTGAGGTAGAAGTGTCTTAATTGGTTCGTTCTAATTTGCTTAAATTTAATGGGGGTAGTGATTCTAGTATAAATTGAGCCCCTCCCACTTCTATAGAGAATTGACATCCCTATTAAATCAGGTTTCATTAATCTTAAAAAAAAAATTAAAAGAAGGAGCGAGTTGAGGTAGACCAATCTAGTTTTTGTAGATGTTACAGAATCAAACAGAGTAGCTTAGAGACTGTCCAAAAATAGGGAAATAACCCTTTAACTTGAGGTAGAATAAAGTGTTGTATCAGAACTTTATTTGTATTATTTATCAATTATTAATGTTTTTTTTGTTTTGTTTTTTAAACTGTGCTTATAATGTGCAGGGCTCTTCTCAGCAATACCTTTTTTTTAGTGAGCTCGCTACCCTCTAACACAGGGGCGCCCTGATCAGTGAGCCACCTTTATCAAGCAGTAGCCATTTCTGCTTGATGGAGTAGAAATTGCTACCACTTGATTAAAACAAAGTCAAGATTGGTTGACTTTTTAAAAAAAAGTTCAGAGCTAATAAACTTGATCCAGCCTTTAACACATCTGATTGTATGATAAAGGAGTGTTAGAGCTGCATTTTTTTAAATTTAATTTGACCCTTTTTATTCTTTTGCACATAAGTTCGTTCTTTCTTCTATCTCTCCTCAAAAGAACTCGGAGCACCATTATCCATCTTCAATATTTCAAGCACAGCGGTTTGGGTGAGGGAGGTGAGGATGTCTCATGCCTGTGGAAAATGAGCTGACATTATCCGAACGGTGAAGGTTGCGCAGAAGAACCCTAGATGAAAAAAGTATTTTCCTCTCCATAAATTTACAGCACAGCATATAGTTTTCCCTCACTGGACTGGGGAGACAGGAAGCACCCCAACCTCTGCAAGCCAGATAGCGCCGTCTGGCCATGGATTTAAAGAGAACACATTTCCTTTTGTGCTACATATTTAATAAGGCTAAGCACGCAGGGAATTATTTTCCTTCAAATCCCGTATTTCCTTTCAGAACGGCCTTCTTTTTTTTTTTTTTTTTAACTCAGGCAGCAGCCCGGCTTTTATTTTGCACATTCCACTTCACGCATAACAGATGTTACGTCGATCCGCGTTTCCCCATCAGATACGGTTCCCCCAGTGTCTTCTCGCCGCTCCACACCACCCAGGTGGCAAAATACGTGCGTGCTTGTTATGAGCACTGAGAAAGCACGCACATAGCAAGCACATGCTTGTTCCTGGAAGGTGAAGACCATAGTGGTGCCTGTGGTCATTGGGGCCCTCGGGGCAGTCATCCCCAAACTGGAGCAGTGGCTAAAACAAATCCCAGGAACAACATCAGACATCTCAGTGCAGAAATGTGCAGTTCCAGACACAGCCAAGATACTGCGCAGAACCCTCAAGCTCCCAGGCCTCTAGTAGAGGACCCGAGCTCAGAGGATGAAAGAGAGAGAGACCACCCGTGGAGGGTGAGAAGGGAATTTTTTTTTTTCATGTGTGTATAT